GCGTAGGGGGAGGGGGAGGACAAAAGAGATGGGGGGTGGGGGGAGGAGGGATGTGTCGACTGAGTCAGCCGTGTCATTCACCGTTAAAGTGTTTGAAAACCTGGCACTCTGACAGTGTGTCATGTTCATACATACTTACACACACACACAGAGGTTGTTGTGGACCAGCGACTTGCTCTCTGGATGCACATCTCATTCACTCCTCAGCCAATAAACATGGTGTTGGACATTAAATAAAACAAGAGGCTCTTTTATAGCCTGGGTCACGCTAGGTAGGATTTATCAGACCATGTTGTGTGTGTGTGTGTGTGTGTGTGCTGAACTGGACATGTCTTTACTAGCTAACACAATAAGCATGTTACATGGTGTACTTTTCTGCAGCATGTTTTCACAGACTTGCAGCCATCAGAGAGCTTCATCAGCATTTTACAGAGACTCACAGCCACATCTCACCCCCCCTTTACAAAGCCATTCACACGGGATGGGTGGAGTATCTAGGTTATTCTACGCAGCAGCTGTAACATGACACAGTTTATCTGGATGTGTTGTAAACCTGAGACACGAGGCTGATTTAGTGACCTGAACAGAGAAGTGCCTTTGCATCACACCCTTCACACAGCAGTAAAACAAAACACAACCAATCCATGGAAACATGATGGACTGAAAAAAGGCCCCAGATAGGCAGAATAACTCGGTCATCTTCCTTCATTTAGATGACAGTGACCTTTCTCACAGAATTTCTCTCATGACAATATTCCTGGGACTTTTTTCTTCCACCCATTAAAAGTGATTTGTTGGCTTGGTGTTGGCTTCCTGCTAAATGTCTCAGAAGGCTGCCAAATGACAAAAGGGAGCCATTTTCCTTTTAACATAGGCATTTTTTGTTGATTGCAAGATGTTTACAATGGTATGCTTTGGTCCCAGGCTAGGGAAACATTATCTCCACTTTGTAACAAAACACGGGGCTGCAGAACAACATTTCCATTACAGAAATACAGTATACAGCAAAAACTGTGTATTTCTTCACTGAGGTGCGATCCTAGCACCGCCTGTTCTGAATGGCAGACAGTTCAAACCAGTATAATTCATTTACTTCGCTGAGCCCACGTTGCTTTACACTTATCTGGTGACTACAGTGTGCATCTGTTTCCAGAGAAGGGGATTTTAGCTCATTTGTTTTTGTGATGCCAGTCAAATCTGCCACACTCCCACTTATCTTATGAGTGTAGCACAATATCCCTGTGGCACAGAAATAATCATTTCCCAGCCCTGAGGCTGCTTGTCCCACTTCAGCTGTGAGGTCATTTGGCGGTCAACGATGACTGACTGAGCGAGGATGAACACACAAATATAGAATCCTGTTTTTAGAAATCACCTTGTCTGTACTGTGTCCATTTCAAACAGCCATAAAAATATTTGTCCAATATAGTAAAAAAAACCCTCTGATCCCTGTATATACCCAGTCTGTGTGGTTTGCAGTACATTACTGACAGGCCAATCTGTCCCCTCTTACTGGAGGATGGCAGGTTTAAAAAGGTTCCTCTCAAAAGACAAAATAACATCTGAAAGTTTATAAACCTATAAAAATACCTTATATAAATATAATAACTAACTGCCTCGATATCACAAAAAAAAACTAACTAAAACCTTGAAAAGTAAGACATGAGAAAACTAATTCAAAGAGACACCACTTCACAGGGTTTAGACAAAAACTGCATGAACGGCAGGCGTTGGTTCTCGTCCAGCTCCCAGTTTCTCCACGGTGCAAGGCATTCATCATCATTATCGTGCCTATTCAATGGACCTAATTCCCTTTAAAATCAACTGTCAATTCTCATTTGGCTGCCCTCAGCATCTATAGGCTTTGAATTCTCCCAGGAACTGGATCTAGGGTGAGTTATCTGGAAAACCAGAGCCAAACAGAGGCACAGTCTCAGCCATTTGGAACCTACTGGGTTTCCATGCTTTTTTCAGTCCCAACAGACATTTCTGAGCACTAAAAGAGACTTAATTGTGGATCCATGACCAATCAAAGCGAACACCATCTAAAACAGAAGTGCCTCCCGCTCCGTTCACTGCAACCCACACAGTGTGATCGGGTGTACCTCGGCCTCAATGAAACATCTTGGACACGAGAAAATGATATATGATTTACACATTAAGATTCAACCTGTTTTCCTTCACAGCCTCCATCAAAAATCACACTATGAAAAATCTTGAACAGACAAGGCAGATGGGGGGGGGTCTGCATTAATTCCAAAAGCAATTACAGCTGTGAACCTGCCACAGCCAGCCAGGGCATATTTAGGAGCTTACATAACCCTGGATTTTGGTGAGACAACGCTCCAGCTCACTCACCATGACTATGCTAAGTACTAGTACAGTGAAGTGGCGTAGGCACAGATGGTTGGCAGGGCTCCACACAGTGACATCCACGCACCCTGCCTGGGTGGGGTGAGGGTTAAAGAAAGGTAATGTCAGTATGATGCTTAAAATGGATAAACTGAGAAAAAGAGATGATAGATGAATGGACTGACATACAGATACTAGGCAGACAGTCCATTCAACAGACCAGTCAGTCTAAGGTTGTGGTGCAGTCTGACTGAGCTTCCAGAGGGATCAGCCTGTATAAAGGATGGGATTTACTTAACGATATAATGCATCTGCTACATGATTGTGGTTTGGTGTGGAAGTCGACATTTCAAAGTGGATAACAAAGCCACAACAGTCAGATGGTGCATCTGGTAAATCTATAGATTATCTAAGAGGCAGAGACAATAAAACATGGATTTAGCTTTAATCCACCAACTGAACAAAAGTGAAACAAACAAAGAACAGTTCAGAATCTTTACTCCCAAACTAAGTTGACTAATTGCTCAAAAGCCTGCTATGTAAAATGCCTTTTGGTGAAGAGTCTCTACATGTTGTAGTAAATCCCTGTGTCTGTCACTATGCCAGATGTGCTGCCAGAAACCATTCTAGAACAGCACACCCTGTTTAATTAGTGCCATCTAATGATACTATTCTCAGGCCCCTCAGGGACAAATATTAAGACTTAACTTTCTTCTTAACATTTTGATCACACACTCCCAGCCCTTGGAGCTACAGGAGCTAAATTAAAGTAGGTTAGCACACTGATAACACCAACTCTCAGCACATACACAAGCTGTATGCGAGAATGCAAATGTCCAAATCAGTTGGCCCATATATTAAATGGACTTTACCCTGCCAGCTCCCTACTACAAATCCATGTGACATACGATTGAGCCAACGTGTGAACAGACCAGGAGAATTCAGACCTAGCTGGTGGGCGTGTCAGTGATGTATCTTCATGTGACTGGCGTGAATCCGGAAGAATACAATCATCTGAGGGTGAAGAAGGGTCGTTTAAATGAAGACGCCAACAAATATATATATATATATATATATATGTGTGTGTGTGTGTGTGTGTGTGTGTGTGTGCATAATTATTGGGCATTTTCTTTTCATCAGGCAAAATGGGCCAAAAAAAGAGACTTAACCGACTGTAAAAAGTCAAAAACTGTAAAAAGCCTCTCAGAGGGTTACGGCACTCTTGAAATTACAGTCACAGAACCAACGTTTTGCTGCAAATAGTCAACAGGGTCGCAAGAAACGTGTTGAGGAAAAAAAAGACACAAATTAACTGCCACCGTTTTGAGAAGAACCAAACGTTCCTTCCGGTCTCCTGCTACAGACATCCCTGGGGCAGGCAGAGCAGCAGACACACTGAATCGCTAATTCAACATAAAGGCAAGACTAATTTCTTCACAAACCCCTGTGTAATATCCACAGTATATATAGTGTAAATGTTGTCAGTGTGACTTACACTTTGTAACTGTGTGTGTCTGCAGATTTGTCAATTTTATTGTTTTACTGCTGCAACAGCTTGCGCCACAACAGAGAAACGGCATCCAGGGAAAACTGGACTGTAAGGGCCAAACTCAGGAAAAAAGGAGGATGGAGAAAGAAAGGGAAAAGGTCACATTGTTTAAAAAAATAAATAAATAAGGAAAACTGAACTTTACTTCTAACATGCTTCCCATAAATGTGGCTATTGTGGGTTATGCTACTTTGGCAAAAATAAATTACAACTCTCGAGTTATAAATTATTGTAGTTAAAATAATTTGTTTAAATACCACCCGGTCTGATTCATTTCCTATTTGCATTCTAAGTCCATATATTTAACTCAATTTCATCAAGGTAGGTTAAAATCAATACACTGCAGATATTTGTATTTAACAGACGCCTGTTAGTCACTTTCTGTTCAAGGTTCATGATTTGGAATCTTAGTGTGCAAAACGACTAAACCCTTTTATCAAAGCAGCTGCCAGTTAAGTTTTTACTAAAAGTCAAATAATCAGTGCTTCAGTTTTAGAAAAGACCAGAGGGGAAAAAAAAGCTCAACAAAGGTCAGTAACACAGATCAAGTGACAAGAAAACTAAGAGCGTCAATAAAAGAGGAAAGGTCAGGTGGAAAAACAGAAGATATGCTCTGTAGCAGATCCTTCTCCGAGTCTATTTGGCCAGTCAGACAGTTTTCTGACATTTTATACACAAAAAGATGAATCAAGAAAATAGCTGGCAAATTAATCATTTGAATCAGTTTTGATTTAATAATCATTTCCTTCCTTTGTGATTAAAGGTGTATCTATGCCCACGACAATGTCAAAAGCCTCGCAATGACATTTTTTATAATCCATAGAATTTTTCTAAATTTTAAATTTAAATTTTTCTCCCGTTATCAGCAAATAACTGTACTACCCTCCATAATTTAACTTTTCACATCAGCAGCGTACTGTACCTCCATGGCAAGAGCAGCGGTTTGCTGGTCGTAGTGGTTCAGTATGTTGGGCATGAAGGTGGAGTTGTAGGGCAGGCCCTGACACATGCGCAGGGTGATGGGTTCGCAGGTGAACAGGCTGTGGCTCCCTGCTGCCGCGTCCATGGGGATGGCAACACACGCTGTTAGCATGGACACGGACAGCACCCACAGGAGATCCATGACTGGTGGAGGGGAGAGACGAAAGGAGCAGAGGACGACTGCTGAGAAAGAGGGGCCAAGCCTTGTCAGCATCTGGCTCATTCACCAGGAAGGGGAGCTGGCTAGACGTAAGGACTGTTTACTGGTCTGATCACAGAGAAACAGTTGGGGTTGAGCAACACAGTCCAACACAGCCATTCCTGAAGCTGGCTGCATCCATCACCATGGCGAGTCTGGTAGCAGTGTGTCACCTGAGGGTGCTGTGACCAAATGGCTATCAATCCTGCCTCTCTTGGCTCAGCAGACTACAAAGATGATTCCAAGAAATATCAATGGCAACCACGCCTGGAGATGCTCAGTCTGCTATCTGGAAAATAAAACCACAACATTTCAAAATACAGACCTGTTCAAACCCTATAATCTTAACATTAGCAAGTTATTCTGCAGCTATAGTTTTCTTTAATGGGCAAACCAGAAATTATTTTTTTAAATGAAAATTCAACTAACTACATGGTGGAAATGAAAAACACAAGAACTGGACAAGAGGGTTGGTAATTGCATTTCAGGTCACCAACTGTTGTGGGTGGGCGGTGTGAGATAATTATACTAAACAGCATTTTATCATAGAACAAAACAAACAAATCATTATGACAACACTTCCATGGCTATTTACAGCTTTTTGTGGTAGTTGGCAGAGATGACGTATCATAATTAGTTGTATTATTTATAATACTGATGTAGTAGTGGTGGTGTAATTTATAGATTAACCACAATTCTAAAAAAGTTGAGCCTGCTTTTAATTTGACCTTTTTTCATAGCAGAGGCTGCTCCATTTACTGAACAGTGCACACCAGAAACAAGGCTTTCCATTCACTGACACGTAAAACAACAACCAAACTTTCCTGAACAGGCGTCTCTATTAGCAGCACAGCTCAATGGACACGTAGGTTCATCTTAATGTGATATTATTGCGTCTGTAGTCCTGTGTTACCGACGGGCTCCTCCTATGGCTCCTACAGGGAATCCATAAATGAACCGTTCCATACGTGTGCGGGGCTAACGAACGTTAGTGGGAGGCTACTGGGATATTTGTTGGTCTCTGCCCGCTCTAACCGGCTCATTACTGAAAAACTGGTGGAATTAACCAGAAACATGAAGCAACGCAGCGAGACAAAAGAAGACGGTTACTTCATCCTAACTGATAGTACCCGTGAGGTAAACGTAGCCCGCTCTGTACCGGTGTCCAACCACCGCACCAGCCGGGCGGCGATGGAGGCGGTTGTCCGTGGGAAACGTGAATGTGAGGTGGTTAAATTAAAGGCAACTTTACCTGAATGTTGTGCCAAACATTCACGTGTACAGACGATATCTCCGCCGCTCCTCGACTTGGTAACAATGAGTGCACACCCGTCCTCCAGCACCCTCCTCTCTACCCTCCTCTCTGTCCTCCGCCCCCGCCCCCCACCTAGCGTCAATTTTGCGACTTTAAAAAAATGAATCCTGTCAAGACTGTCAAATTAAAAGCCTCGCCCAGAAACACACTACCGTCTCTACTAGCAGCACGTTGAACTGTGTTGGCAGAAAGACGACAACCTCAGATGTTATCCACATAAACACCGAGATAACATAAAATTAATGTGCCAGTAACTTAAACTTGTATTGACGTTATGAAAGTTTTGTTTTTATTTCGTTGCCACCTCATACAATAAGTTGTTGCAGCAAGTAGCTTCCAATTTTGAGGGTTTCTTGAACTAAATTTTACGATTACATTTTCAGTGAATAAAAACTAATAATAAACAATAGTTGGAAAATGTTTATATATTTTTGTCATGAACAAATCTGGGTTTTGTAGGCTATTATGTGACTACAAATAAAACCGGAAAGATATTTCATTTGCACCTGTTTGACCGCTTATGCAAAGGTCTAAAAAAATGGCTATATTTTGCAAATAACTCTTCATTTTGATTAAATTGGTTGTACTTTAAATGGCATGTTTGTTTTTATTCAAGTAAAAGACCTGAACGAAGCTTGAACATTACTTTGTTTCGGGTGTTGCTCTGCCTATGTGCGTGATTTGACGCAACTCTCCTTCTGTTAGCTGCGGGTCTTCTGTCCTCTTTGCGCGCGGCCGCCCATCCATGCACGAGCACGCCTTCTGCTCTTGAATAAACTTCAGTGTTTTAGCAGAGCATCAGCAAAAAGGCCACAGTACAACCTTATAGCAGCGCTTTTAACTTAACGGGTGCGTTATTGCAGAGAAAAATAACGCCAACATTATTTAAACATTTACAGGTTTGATCCATTGTATCTGATTAATTTGATAACATTCATTCCAGCTGCCCTCAATTCGGGATGACTTTTGTAAGTTAGTGCACAGGAAAATCATATATTTTCAGTGTCCAAAACACAGATGTGACAAATGAATTAAAGATCAGACCTTGAATAATGAGTTGATGATAGTGCCCTGATCCGTAGGACAGGAGGAGTCACTGAATGGTTTGATGAGGATGAAAATGATGTGACTCATATGCTGTGGCCTTCACAGTCACCAGATTTCAACCAGGTGAACACCTATGGGGGATTTTGGACCAATGTGTTAGACAGCGACTCCACTACCATCATCATCAAAACACCAAATGAGGGGATATGTTTTGAAAGAATGATGTTGATCCTCCAATAGAGTTCAGAGACTTGGAGAGTCAATGCCAAGGTGCACTGAAGCTGTTCTGGTGGCACGTGAAACACTTTTTATGTTTTCCTTTCATTTGTCACCTGCCTGTGAATCATGCACACCGTAGCATACAAGCGGTACTATTTTTTGCTGTCTCAGTGTCAGGTCTTCTGAGTTAGCTATATTTGTCATAATTAGAGCCACTGACACCTGCACAGTCCACACATACTCCACCATAGTTTGTTTTGCAGCACCCCACCCCCCTGTGCTTGACATGCTGCCACAGCCAGTCCATGTAAGGGGAGTGCACATAGTGTTACTATGGAAACAAGTAAACTGTGTACAGGGAAGTGGACAGAAGAAGAGTTGATTATATGGACTCAAAGGCCATATGCACATCAACAGAAAGTGTGTTTAGGCGTTGTACTTACTTCTTTTCACCAGCTGAGGAGAACTGATGGTGAGTTAAATAGCAGAGGGTTGTGTAGTACAGTGATTAGCAGCAGTGTACTTTCACTCATATATTATTGGAGATTACAGAATGTGTGTCAGATTAGATTTTTGCCGTTTTGTCTTTGAAAATGTTTATTAGTTTTTCCAGAGTTGGGAAGATGGAGATTATTGTAACAGTTGAAAGAAATATAATAATAAAGACAGATGGGAAAGAAAAAAGACATTTGACAAAGAGCCAAGATTATCAGCTGGATCTTTATTAAAGATTTTATCTATTTGTGTGATAAAAGCTGGCAGAGTCTATAGTGGCACATTGTTTAAACAACGCTTAGACAGTATTGTATGCTGCACACAGCAAGGTTACACAAAATGTAAGAGAGTAGCATCAAGCATGCAATTAAAGTTTTGTTTACTGCATTGTAACACATCATCTCTACTCAGCTGTTACTGAGCAATGCCACATGCACAGAGGTCATCCACAAACCGTGTTATGGCGCAGACCAAACTGAGCACCTGGACGCCTCTCAACCATCCTATGGCCAACTGCAAGGTCAGGTCAGTTTGTCTGTGAAACAGTACAGTCAGCCAAAAACAAGTTATTTATAGATATAGTACAGTTTTTATTTTGTGGAATACACATTTGTGGAGCATGAAAAGGAGCAACACCACAGTGTAAAGAATATTCCGTTACAAGTAAAGGTCTTGCATTCAACATCTCACCAAAGTAAAAATACACATGTATGATCAGTAAAATGGACTGAACACATCAAAAAATAAATGCACATTTTCTGCAGAAAATGGCACCAATATGTACGCAGCAGTATATTCTGATGAGTCTTTGTTGTTGTATGACCAGAGCAGTGCAGTTTGATGTGATTCCGTCTTACTCATCTTCCTCAGGTGTTTGAAGAGAGACATAGTCTTCTGGCAAAGTGGGTAAGCTGACAGCAAACAAGCAGCACAGAAAAAAAAGCAGCTCACTTCAACTGATCCAGTGCATGTGAAGGTGGTCCGTTACCTTCTTCCATCTTGTCATAGTTTGACAGGTGGTCTGACAGTCAGAGGAAGCTGGTGCTGCAGGACATTGTGCTGAGCTGCTCAGTGGAGCAGCTCAGGTTCCTGAGTCTCAGTGTGAGCAGACGGCTCCCCCTGCAGGCTGCAGATTTCACCTGCCTACTGCCCAGAGCCCTCAGCCTCTACGTCTTCTCCTTCCTTGACCCCCGCAGCCTCTGTCGATGTGCCCAGGTACACCAACTCACCATACTGACCTGCAAAGTTGTTAGCATTAATGACCTAACAATAACTTATCCAGCTGATAACTATGTTTTACTGCTTTTTTAAGGTGAGCTGGCACTGGAAGACCATTGTAGAACTGGACCGGCTGTGGATGCCAAAGTGTCTGAGGCTTGGCTGGTGCATAAACTTCTCCCCCACACCATTTGAGCAGGGTGTCTGGAAGAGACATTACATCCAGACTGTCCAGGAGCTGCGACTCACCCAGCCACAGGTCAGGATATCAACTCAGCAGTCAAACATGATTCTGTTCTCAGATATTCAGTATTATGGCTCAGGACATTTTATGCAAAACAAACTGATGTTACATTAAAAAGGTGTATTATCCACCTCCAGATTGCCTCATCCCAGCATCAGTTTATGGTTCCAGGTGTAACACAAACCAGCAGTAGACATGAAGAGACAGCAGGACTAGCTTCCCTCACTGAGGAGCGGTTGGCGTCCACCAGCCAGCCACTTAGAAGCAGCTCCAGTACGGGACTAAGAAAAGAAAAACAGGCCTATGCACTTCCACCATGGAGAGATTCTGACAGATGTCCTAAAGACACACTTCGCTTCAACTACCTGGACAATCTGGACCACATGGAACAGACACCAAGCACGTAAGACTGCAGGGAACATCAACCTTCCAGTCAAATTTGAATTTCATTTTAGGCTTCAATCACACAATTTGGCATAAAATGAAAAGCAACAAAAAAGGTGGTTGTTCCCAACAAAACGGGACTGTAGAAAACTGTACAACAGCATAAAAATGATCTACATGCATTTTCAGCTCCTCACTATAATGTACACAAATCCACCCCTTTACCAGGAACAGGCTACTATTAATTTCTCATTGAGGGTTCATTTCATTTTAAACAACTTAAGGTCGTAATTTGTTTATGATGTTATGAAGACTTTCAGCTCTTTTAAAGGAACAGTTAATCACTTTTTGCCAAGAGTTAGGATGATCTTTTTTGTTCAATAAATATGAAGCTACAGCCAGGTACACGTTAGCTTAGCTTAGCATAAAGACAAGTGAAAACAGCTCCTACATGTCACATCTCATTTGTTGAACCTGTACAAAAGCTGAATTGTAAAACTGACACATTGTGAATTTATGTGCTGGACAACAGTATATCACAGCTATCACAGGGTTGGGGGGCTATCCCAGCTGAGGTGAGAGGTGGGGTCCACCCTGGACAGGTCGCCAGTTTATCACAGGGCTGACACATAGACAAACAACCATGCACACTCAAAGGTATCGGGTTGGCCCAGAACTTTCTTGCTGTGAGGCGACAGTACTAACCATCACGCCACTGTGCCACCTCAAAATCACACTCATTTTTGAAATGTAGATTTTTTTAAATTGAATGTTTCATATGGGCTAAATCCTCAAAGAACTACATGTTGAGTTAACGTCATAGCACTTCTTTCTAATGAAAGGTGTCACAAATCATTATTTGCAGAACAGCAGCCATGTTTTTTATTTGACCATCCTCACTGAGACCAAAACATAAATACAGCTATTGAATATATAAAGAAGCAGTTTGAAATAAATGACTGATGGCAATGCAGATGGACTGAAATGTTCACCTTGTTGTTTCACCTGCTCACTGACAATCCCTTTCTGCAGGCAAATGAAAGGCAGAGCTACCACACTGGAGCCAGGCAACGGCAACAAGAAAACACTGTCTGAGGCAAATTACAAGCTACGGAAAGCCAAATCTTTGGTAAAGCACGTTCCATTCATCATCAGCAGCGTAACCACACTGTGACTGCAACCTCCTAGTTTGAATCAAAGGGAGCGGGTAAATGTGGAGGATTCTCTTGAGACAGTGCAGCCAGAAGCATCATGCATTATGGAGCAATGTTCACACAGGAATTCATGTTAATGACGAGCTGCTCAGAGGGGGAGCTGACGGGGGAAAGCCGAATTATACAGATAGTGATGTTTCAGAGAGGGGGAGCACAGGGTGAGATAAAGGACACTGTGACATTTATTATTCAGGCTTTGGTGAGATCATCATACTTACATTTATTTTAATGCCTGGACACAGGAACTAATGTGAAATATTGTATAATATTCAGTATTTTTGCATCATGTTGAATTTCTTTTTTTCCGCAGAGGCTTGTTATCAAGGTAACCCCAGTTCTCTGAGAACGTGTTTTTCTCCTCCTTCAGATGTTCCTCAGCTCCAGCTCCAAAGCCCACCATTCTCCTCCTCCTCCTCCTCATCATCACACCCAAACTCAACCCCAAAGGGCATCTTGCAGTAATGACTACCCTGTCACTAAGGAGACCGCCGAGACCCTGCTGCGCCAGAGTCAGTGGAATGCTGGGATACGTCCTGGACCTGTGAGGTCAGCAGTGCCCCGGCTGAGTGCGGATGCACTCAGGGCGTCCCTGCGTTCACATCGGAGCACTCCCAGTAAGTAATAAGTGCACCTCCACTCCTCTGGGCTGAATATGATGTAACCACTGAGCAAGAAATGCATGAAGGACAAATTATGGGGTAAAAAATGACTGATTCTACTTGAAAGTCACAGAGTGCGCACAGTTTGTGACCACATTGTAAATGCTGTTTTACTGTACTATACTGTAAGTCTTGTAACTGAAGATTTAAGTCTTTAAAAACTAAGTATTAAAGTAACTGTAGACTACAGTAAACACATTGATTTCTTTCACTGATTAATCACCATGAGATTAAGAAGAAAAGGCTGGAATGGAAACTATATGGTGGTTTATTTTACTACCTGATGTACTTTATTAGGTGAGCCCCACAGCTTAATGTATACTACATGTGTTCTCCTACAGCAGTAGTATCAGAGTGCATCTCTGTAGGTTAGAAAGGTGCAGGTACTGATGGTGCTACTGTATTCCAAAGTTTCTGCAGCTCCAATATTCCTACATTCAGGAATACCCTTTAATGTAAAAATAAATCCGTTTAACAATTTAAACTGATGTGAAAAAGATCTTTGTAAAGTGAATGTTGGTATCAACTCCAGGTACACCACTGTTTGAGGTGCAGCCCTGACCTGTGCCTGCTTCACACACACACTGATGAAGAGTGTGCAGAACTGCAGCACACAGCTTGAAGACATGATTCAGAGTGTGTGTTTGACTTTGCAGCGATCAGTGTCGTTATGTAACTGTACATATTTAAAAGACACCACCTGGAATTTCTTTGAAGGTGATTGTGTAAAGAGCACAGTGATAAGTATGCAGAACATTTTATATTTACATCCTGTATATTCTGACATCATGAGAAAAAAACTGCACGATTATGTGCACAAAATGATGTTTTGTGTTTGAAAATTTAATCCACCTTTGAAAACAACACATAGCTAAACTATAGGTGTAGTCCACATCTTGTGTGACAAAAAGGTGATCATATAGGCCCAACTCCCAAATGTTTTATAGTGGCCCCGAATCAGCTGACAAAAAAGTACATGTAGAATTATTGAAACAGTTTATATCTGGGCAAAACTAGTTCACTAGGTAACGTTATGTTTTAAAAAACAAACAAACAAGTTGTTCTACAAAACTGTGCACAGATTGAACACAAACATTAACCCAACTGTGATGAGAAAAGTGCAGTGCATGTGATTTTCCTTTAGTTCTCAAAATTGTCTAACTTTTACTTCTGAGTGAAATCAACCAACTTCTGATCAACAACACACTATATCTGAGTGAAATCAAGATATTTCTCATTTGACAAAAAGAAAAAAGTGCTTAACTATCGCAGTGATGTCAACGTGAGTACTTTTATATAGTTTTTTTAAATTAAAGATTTAAGTTAATTAAAACAGGTCCTGTACAGGATTTTTCTGATCCTCTGAAATTGCTTGTGTTTTGTAAATGTTTTGGGCTGGTGTTGATACATACTTTGTTATGGGGATATTGTCTGTAGCTCACACAGTTTAATTCTGATTTCTTAGGAAGCTCCAGTCACAAGAGTTGGAAAGTAACTAAGTACATTTACTCAAATATAATTTTGAAGTAGCCTATTCTACTTGAGTATTTTCCATTTTCTCTTGCTTACTACTTCAACTTCACTACATTTATACTTTTCACTCCACCACACTGATCTGATAACACTAGTTAGGCTATATAATTATTTTCAGAATCAGATTAACTTTATAAAATACAGTGTAATCAAGACTGATCCCTAGTTGGAAATTCACAAGCTACCCAGCAGTAAATCAAATTATAAGTATACATGGTAGTTAAAATGAGCTTCACCTTTACCAACTGCAACATTAAATGCAATAATGCATCAAGAATGATAATCCTGAAAGATGATATACATTAATGTGAAATATGCCAGTATGCATGATGAATTACTTCAAGACTCAAAGTGTTTATTGTCATGTGCACAGTAAGGAAATGTGTAGTAAACAATCTGAGTACATCTTCCACCACTGCTAGTCCTTTTATATTTACAACACCTTCCTCTTGTGTTTGGGTCGGCACCGACCCGTTTTAGGTTTTAAATGCATAAAAGTAACATAAATTTTTTGACTTTGTCAGGAACCTCCAAACAAAATAAAACAAACAAAAACAATTTCACTAAACTATAAAAGGCTCTGGTGAAAATTATTATTTGATCAAGAGATGTTTTGATCTTTTTATGCCATTGTCACAAAAAAACGTCATCATTGCTATGATAATCCTTGAAGGAAAAAAAGTCCACGGCAACATGTGGAATGACATGGCTGAGGAATACCTGGATGTTTGTATTGGTGTTCTTCCTGCTGGACTGTACAGATCCAGCAATGAGGCCACTGATAGTCTCTGGGATATGATGACAGGCAGAAATATTTTCTGGGCAACAATATCACTTCAGACCTTTCGAATGATATCAAGAGTCCTCAGATTTGACAACAGAGATACTAGCGCAAAATCTGACAATCTTGCTCCCATCAGGGATGTCTGGAAGAGATGGGTGCAGCTCCTTCCGCTGATGTTCAACCCAGGGCCAGAGGTGACAGTAGATGAACGTTTTGTCACTTTCCGTGGAAAATGCCCCTTCCAGCAATACATGCCCAGTAAGCCAGACAAATACGGCATAAAAATCTGGGCAGCCTGTGATGCAAAAAACAGCTATGCATGGAATCTACAGATTTACACAGGCAAACCTGCGAGTGGCACACTTGAGAAAAACCAAGGAAAATGTGTAGTCCTCGATATGATTACTCGACTGCAGGGTCACAATATCACGTGTGACAATTTTTTTTTTACCAGCTATGACCTTGGTCAAGAACTTCTCAGGAGGAAATGTACCACGGTGGGCACAATAAAAAAACAAAACAAACCTGAGCTGCCCACTGAAATTTTGCAGGTGAAGGGCTCCTCTTTCTTCAAAATTTGCTTTTACAGACACCACCACTACATTTTGTATAATTACCTGTTCTGCTTTTCATTTTGTATTTATATTAAAGTTCTAGTTCTTCTATTGCTGCTGGAACACAGTAATTTCCCCATTGTGGGATCAATAAAGTCTCACGTACCTACCTACCTACCTGTTTTAATTCCCATCTGCCTGCATTTCAACAGGCTTTGCCTCAGTTTGAGCTATCGTGGCTGGGGAGACATGACACCCACATACACAGTGGGGCTGTATGGTTTTTGTCTAGTGGCCTATGACGTTCCACCACCATAAACATCACCAGATGAGGGGATAGTGATTCTCTACTTCAATATATTACCACTGTAAAGTCTAAGTTGAGTGTAGTTTATGGCTGATTTAAGACATGGGTCAAAACCGACTTGTTCTGGGGCAGGAGAAACACAAGCAGAGAGAAGCCTGTTTGTTATCAAGGGCGATGACGTCAGACTATCGCGAGATCGTGAGACAGCGCGGGGGATTCAACATGGCGACGCACAGTCACTGAAGATAATCAAAACACTTTGCTAACTATTTGCTAATATTTTTTGTGGACTTAATAACCCACTACTGGTTTTACACGAGCAATCCATCTGAATTGCAAACTGCTGCCAATAACCGGAACGGACCTTTCACATACTGGAGGATTTATCGGACCCGGAATCATTCATCGACCAATACTACATCCACTGCAGTATGGATGCCGCCAGTACAAACCAACACTATACGCCAAAACCAAACAGACTGAAAAAGACTTCTTATACGGATACAAGCGATCTACAGACGACAGACATTGAGGTCAGTGTTCATCCATCAATAAAAAACTCGATTTACTGGTCACACTTCATGAGAAAATAAAAGAACTCTGGACAAGCCTTAAATTCGCTCACAATTACATTGAAAAGTTACAACAGTCAAACAACTCTCTCCAAGTATCCGTCAAAACCCTCAGCAAAAAAATGGACTCCGTCTTGAAAGAAAACAATAATGAAAGAAACGATAGTGGATATTCAAACCAGAAACATGCGCGATAACCTGATTTTTACCGGTGTTTTGTCAGATTTTGCTACCTATCAAAACGTGCTACCCACCGTTCACAAAGTGGTTAGGGTTAGGGGGATGGATCGGGGTGGGGTTAGTCAGTCCATAACTGCGCATGCGCAGAGCCTAATGCGCATGCGCAGACAGTTTGGGTATGAAGATCTGATAAGGTATGAAGAATTGGCAGAACACCGGCATTCCAGAACAATCACCGGACAACCCCGAAATACTGGTTAAGGACTTTATGAAGAATCAACTAAAAATCCCACCGGACACCGTCAACATGATCACCTCTCACCGTGTACACCGCCTTGGATCACGTTCAAACAAAACACCCCGACCAATAATGGCCAAACTGAAACATTACAAACATAAAGAACTGAAAGGCAAACATTACGGACTCAACCACCAATTCTCACGGGAAATTAACGAACGGCGCAAAACTCTCTATCCCATTATGAAACAACACAGACAAAACGATAAACGAGCAAAAATGTTTTTGATGGCCAATGAGGCTTTGTTGAAGCTTCGACACAGTGTTCACACAAATGGTTCATTACTCGAGGCTTCAATGACACAGTGCTCGAGTAGGACATCTAGTGGTCAAGAAATTGAAGTGCAGTCAAGACGTGTCACTTATTGGTTCATGGATTGTTTGGGATTTGATTCGCCATGCACATTCCTGTTCCACTACACTACATGGTTGGATGGTTTCAAGCTGACACAATAAAATATCAAATAAACATGGACACATGTTGAAGACCATGTTTCTTATGTGGCACGTCTGAGTGTAACCCTATATGCTCATATATCCTATCTCTGAACACACTCTATCCAAAGTGATTCATTCACATCTGACCAACCCAACTGCTTCAGACGTCACGCAAGTGATTCAAACGTCACTAGTCACGTGACCGAAACACGCCTCGGTACAGAGGTTCGAAACAATTGCTTTATGAGCTACCGCGCATGTGTCGGAGCCTCGGGTGTCAGAATAATACTCTGTGTAAACAGGAGGAATGATGAGACAGTAAGCAGCCCCGCCAGCTGAAGAAAAAGTGCTGGTGTAGGGAGCCGATCACAGGTGTTTGGGGACAGCCCAGTGCACGGCACAGGGCACGAAAGGATCGCTTCGAGACTGCGCATGCGCGAGGGGTGAACCCAATAGCAACAGCTCTGTTCTTTGGATTGCTTGTCAACTACACTGTATAAGGATGTTTTTGAGTCTGTTGGGCCTAGCCTTTTGACAAGTGCAGGTTCAGTGCCAGAGGCTTTCAAAAAAGCGTTTGTCCGGCCTTTTCTCAAAAAGACAAATCTTGATCCTTTACTGTTTTCTAATTTTAGACGAGTTTCTAAATTGCCTTTTATGTCTAAAGTTCTGGAGAAAATGTTTACCCAACTCCAGTCTTTTTTGGCAGATAATGGCATTGAGGAGCAATTTCAATCTGGTTTTAAACGAAAACATAGTACTGAGTCTGCATTATTAAAGATCAGTAATGACATCCTGCTGGCTAGGGACGCCAGGGATTCGGTTTTATTGGTGCTTTTAGATCTCACTTCTGCCTTTGATACAATGGATCATGAAATCCTCTTGTCTCGCTTGGAGCAGTGCGTAGGAATTCAAGGTACTGTTCTTAACTGGTTTTGATCTTATCTCACTAATAGAAGTTTTACTGTTAATAATGGTACCTGTTCATCCTCTTCAACAATCCTTTCCTGTGGTGTTCCCCGAGGATCTGTGCTTGGTCCCATTCTGTTCTCACTGTACATGCTTCCATTGAGATCTGTCTTAAGGAAATATGGCCTTTCTTTTCACTGATATGCAGACAACATTCAGATATACTTATCATTGAAGGCAATGAGAGGGATGTTATTACAGCCACTGTTTGACTGTCTGACAGACTTGGCACTTAACTTTTTAAATCTTAAAAATAAAACTGTGTGTGTGCTCTTTGGAGACTTGGTGAACTTAACTTCTTTTGACCCTGGCTCATCATCTGAAGTAAACTGTAGAAAACCAAGGGGTGATGTTTGATGGTGAGTTAAGATTTGACAAGCAAATCAACTCAGTTGTGAAATCTTTCTTCTTCCACCTGAGGCTGTTGAGCAAAGTCAAGTCATTCCTTTCTTTTTTCTAGCTGGCACACACTGCTACTCTCTGCTTCTCTCTTCTTCCACACACACAGCACACATGTTGATAGCCATGCAAGGCCACTTCCAAGACTGATAGAGCTGGGTGTATTAAGTCATCTGCTGTCTTTGCTTAACTGTAATTAATGGCAGGAAGAAAAAAACATCCCTCATTTATGAATGATAATTGTTTTTAGGTCTTTTTGGTTGAAAAGTATAATAGTAAGTGCTGTATGCATCAGATCTGAGTGCCACAAAATTACTATATCATCAAACGCACACACTGAAGAGATGACGGCAAGATAGACTTCATGCATTAAAGTGTCTGCAGCGTAGTTTTGCATCATACAGTCCCCCATGACAGTGCTTATAACATCCTCAGAGGAAAGCAGAGTGCTAGGCTTCATGTAGGTTTGTTTTTTCTTCAAACGTAAAATTTCTGACATGCACTAATACCACAATGCACAGTCGTGAACAGGACATGAAATGGACAAAAGACTTTGTTAATGCACTGGAACTATCAAACATTTGTCATCAGCTGCAGTGCAGGACTTTGAAATGGACATAAAACTTCCTTAATACACCTGAACTATCAGACATTTCTCATCAACTGATAATGTGAAATGGCTTCTGATAGCTGGAGGGAGAACAGGAATCACATAGCACAACTGTCCAATTTATGTCCAGTGACAAGTACAAAGTATCCATTGTACAGTAACTTGTAAATCTGTCATGTATTTTTAAGAGCTTAGAAAGTATTTGTGTGTGACTTGATCTTTAGTCTTAGTCTTAATTATATGTAAACCTAACATTTTGAACCAAAGTGAAAAGGCCTGAGACTTGGTTTGGGGCTCTTTATTAATATTATTACATATCCTCAGCAGGCCAGCATTGGAGGCGGGACATCTCAGGAAGACAGGCAGGAGCTGGAGCGGCGCCATTACTAACAACTCATCAGGCACAGGCTCTGGAGTGACGGCGTCACTGTCGACCCACTGGGACAGAGGAGCCACCCCCTGGAGTAAAAGAACAGGGCTACCCTTGTGCCCTCCATGGTCATTTTTCATGACAGCCTTAGTGTTGCCCCCCCACCCCCACCCACACACACAAAAACTCTTGGGGGCCCCTGGTGTGTCGGTGTGAGAAAGAGAGTGTGTGTAAATCTGTCTCTCTCTCACAAACACACACACATACACACACACACACACACACACACACACACAGAATAAAAACTCTCGGGGCCCCTTGGTGTGTGTGTGAGAGAGAGAGACAGTGTGTAAATCTCTGTCTGTCTCACACACACAAATGCACACACACACACATACACACACAAAAAAGAACTCTTGGGGCCCCTGGTAGTCACATGACTCCATAATATGACTGGCCAAAATGATCGCCAAATCAAGAAAGATTGCCTGAGAAGGGCTTGAGGGTTTTAACACAACAATTGTTATTAATATCAATGAAGAACTGTCAACTGGCTCTGGACCATAACCCTATCCCATTTATAAACAAATGAACTTTCTCTTTTTGTCTTTTCTTTTATTAACATTTATTCAATGCTTTGTTTATTATGTGTTTATTCAGCACTGCACTGTGTATTGTCTGCAAATAAAACTATAAACATTGAGATGGTGTGAGTATATTATGTTGTAATATTTGAGTAGGTTGGGGTTGATTTGGGGAATGTCATCACCTCTGATGGAAAACATGAAAAATGTATCCTTCTGTAAAAGTAAAGCATCAAAATAACTTGATCCAGCATGTTTTGAATAAGAGTTGTCAGATTTACATTTTGGTAAACCCAGATGTGCAGATTTGATGGAGTATGGATATGTTGTCAGTTTGTTTGTTGGTATCTTTAGTTCCCTCTAGCTGGCCCACACTTCTACTCTCTCTCCTGATATGACAGACATCCACACACACATGTTGAGATCCATATAAGGCCGCTTCTAAGGTAGACTGATAGAGCTGGGTGTATTTGACACCTTTTCACCACAAGAGGGCGGTGAAGCCTTTCTGCTGGTCTCTTCCTCAGTCTTACAGTAGCAAAAAAATGGGTACACACTATAGACAAACTGTTAAAGACTAGTAACTTGGTGACACCAAACTCTGATGCAGATTATAGTTAAGGGAGCATCTTTACCCACAGCAATCTCTTTACAAATAGCTGCATCTTCCATGAAAGAAAATAAGGATTTTGAATGGTGGCTCTCAGGCCTCTGGTAGAGGACCTGAGAGAGACTGGACTTAAGTGTCCATAGTGTAGTTTTGCATCATACAGTCCTCACGACAGTGCAGATAACATCTTCAGAGGAAAGCAGAGTGCTAGGCTACATGTATACTCTTAACCCTTAGCACTGAGTCTGTTTTTCTTCTCTAAATATATCATTTCTAATATTCACTAATCCCACAATGCACAGTCATGAACAGGACATTAAATGAGCCAGAGTCCTGTAAGGGTCCCATTTTGAAAACCTGTACCCACCCCGCACCCACAAAGCTCTGTGTCAGACCTGACCCATCATCTGGAGCTACTTCTAAATCAGCTGCTTTAGTGAGGAAGTGCCTAGCTCTGACTCTTTCTTTTTGGCACCGTTTACAAGCAGCAAATCGTCGGATAACATTGTTCTCACTGCCTGTAACCACTGAATTTCTCCCGTATGTCAAATTTTGGCCTTATATATATATATGTATGTATATCCAACATAATGTTTTGGCAGTTGACCCATGCGAGCTGTGATGCTAAAATCATCTGCTGTCTTTGATTAAATGTAATTATTGGCAGGAAGAAAAAGACAACCCTCATTTATGAATGATAATTGTTTTTAAGTCTTTTTGGTTGAAAAGTATAATAGTAAGTGCTGTATGCATCAGATCTGAGTGCCACAAAATCACTCTATCATCAAGCTCATACAGTGAAGTGATAATGGCAAGATGGACTTAAGTGTCCATAGTGTAGTTTTGCATCATACAGTGCAGATAACATCTTCAGAGGAAAGCAGAGTGCTAGGCTACATGTATACTCTTAACCCTTATCACTGAGTCTGTTTTTCTTCTCTAAATATATCATTTCTAATATTCACTAATCCCACAATGCACAGTCATGAACAGGACATTAAATGAGCCAGAGTCCTGTAAGGGTCCCATTTTGAAAACCTGTACCCACCCCGCACCCACAAAGCTCTGTGTCAGACCTGACCCATCATCTGGAGCTACTTCTAAATCAGCTGCTTTAGTGAGGAAGTGCCTAGCTCTGACTCTTTCTTTTTGGCACCGTTTACAAGCAGCAAATCGTCGGATAACATTGTTCTCACTGCCTGTAACCACTGAATTTCTCCCGTATGTCAAATTTTGGCCTTCAATGATGTAAGCTATTGTCCACAATATTGTATTCACCACTGTCTGTCTGGGATTTTAACTTATCCAGTCTGATGTGGTGATGCATTAGTTAATACAGGGTTAGTATGAAATGACCTCATCAGTTTGTCATATAATGAATACCTGTGCCTTAGAACTGAAGCTGATGTGATGTGACAGCTAAGGGTAATCACACACATTTGCTTTGCACTTACCATTAGCTTCTTGTAAGATCATATATAGATGTGATGATGGTAATTTAAATTAATGTGAGCAGGAGAAATCTCAACACTCTCTGGCCTTATATCTCACTTAAATCTGCTATGGGAAAGTTTTAGCCACATGGCGGAAGGAGAAACAAGCTACACAACACTGACATTACCTTTTAACAGGGCCGCCAACATGGGGGTCGGAGGGTGGAATAATTTGTCAAAAAATACTGCACAGTATATATTTGTGGAAACTTTACAAGATATGTGTGACTCACATAAAATCTTTTGACCAACTATGTCAAGGAAAATTAAGCAGATAGAAATAAAACCTTTTTACTCCAGGTAAATAGCTAAATGGCTAAACTGTTTAAATGGTCTAACTGTTAAAATATTAGCTAATCCTATTAGATAAATGTAATGGAAACAGCTAAACAAGGAGTTGAAAAGCTTACAGTAATGGAGAAATGGATGATTCCATCTATTTTAAAGAGACTTAGAGTGGATAAAGGGCTGGAAATAAAAATAAATGGATGAAGTTAAGTCAATAAAGCTTAAAATAATAGATAAAAGGCAGAAAGTAATGTTAGGTTAAAGTAATGGATGGTGGTTGAAAGACCTGGCTAACTGATAAACAGTTAAAACATCAAGCCTCTCTGCTGATGTGGTAGCACAATGAATCCAAACTTGACCTAAGCAACTGAAGCAGTTCACAGTGTGAAAATAAAGTATTAACTACATCAACTGTGTTAAATAACGCCCAGTATTTAAGAACCCATTTTGAACCCGACTGGTCCTGTCGATGTTCGGTACAGTAAGAGCTAGAAGACTTGTCTCAAAGCACAGCCTTCTGGTTTTGCTCCAAACTTGATTTAAAAAAAACAAAACATTTAATGAATAATACATTTCCTTAATTAATGGAACAGCAGTCAGAACACACATGAGAAAACAATCAGTATGAAGAGAATACATTTAATTAAACATCCTTTTCAAAAAGCCACCTATGGTTTGGGAACAGCAGAGGTGAAACAGTTCAAAGGCACACGCTACATCCAGCAATATCAGCAACTATGAGCTAGTTTAACTTTTAGTGACTAACAACCATGGAGAGCTATAGGAGGCTGAATTCTGAAAGTCTAGGATTACTCGCCGTGCTCTAATTGAAATGAATTGAAAACCTCTCCCTTGGCACATTTGTATTTGCAGATGGTGATGCAATTATTTTTAGTGGAGGAAAATGGAAATTAAACAATCATTCTTTTCCAATTAAGATCATGTAAGTGACAGTACAGAAAAATGATTTTTCCACTCCTTCATTCTATACCAAATATCTTATCTGTGCTTCCTTGGTGTAAATATGGTTTCTTAAGGAACATACTGCTCCACAGGGGCAGCCAACAACCAAATCAACACAACATTCAAAAATGTACTTTATTTCAAATTGCTGCAACAGGGGCACTAAAAACAAACAGCTGAGAAACACACAGTGCCCCAAGTTGAAAATAGAAAACTCTCATTTTAAAAGTCATGAATAAAACAGAAGCAAAGAAGAAAAACAAACATGGTGGACAAAATGATCCAGAACCCAGCGTTTCGGTGCTTTGTCCATCCAAAAAGGAAAAAAAGAACACTTACTAGTTAAGAGCACAGTTTGGTGCAGCTTTCTAACCTCATCAAAAAGTTTCATTATCTTTTGGGAATAAATAGAAAAGAAAATCACGCTGCCAGAAGTAAAACAAATTCAATCTCTATTTTACTGTTTAAACTGTAAAGGGGCTGTGCAAGCAAAAGTAATCTAACAAATTACCAGAGAAAAGTTGTGAGAATGCACATAAATCAACATGCACACACAAACACTCACCAAAATGTCTCACACACACACACACACACACACACACGTACGTACACACAAATGGACAGAAGGGATTATACGTGGTGACTATTGATTAACCTGACTCGATTTCACAACACACCGATAAACTGACAGTGCAAATATTCAGACAGCTGCAGAGAACTAAAATAAGAGCCAAGATACACCAACAGGACAAACTTCAGACATTTTGTACAGTTATGAAACTAAATCAGTGGTGGATCCGTTTTTTCTTTTTGTCGCATTTTGGGTTAAAGATGGAATGAAGCTATACGGAAGCCGATGAGGAAAATAATTTTTGGATTCAGCGCTCCACAGAAGATTTAAAAGAAATGCTGCTTAATGCAACTCTCTTATTTTAAGATTAATGTAATTTTACCTTCTTTGTTTTAACCCTTTGAAATATTAAAAAAAAAAGTTTAAAACCATAACAGGTTGTTTAACACTACATAAAACGCTCTGGAACACCATTATTATAAACATGAACTAAGAATTATGATCCATGAACAAAAATCAGAAGCCAAAAAGTTGATTTTGGCCACACTAAAGGCCTTGACCAGTGGCACTACGTTTGGATTTAAACATGGACATTAGTCAATTCAGTCAATCAATCAACTACAGTGTATTATGAAGGTGTTCGTCTATGGGGTTATAATGAATGACCTCTGACCTCCTGTGGTAGAGCAGGTCAGGCCACCCTGGTCCACTACACCTCACACACGTGAAATGCTTACATTGTGAATTCTCAGGAAAAAGGTTGAGGGGCCAGGAAGAAGAAAAACGAGAGGGTTTGTCATCCCACAGGGCCAGTCAAGTGTTTTAAACGACACCCAGGTTTTACAGTACCTCACAGTCCTTAGGGTTGTCAGTGTTCTCCAAGACTCGGTATTCAGTTTCCTGAAATGAACCCAGTGACAGGATAGGGAAGGACATAGGAAGTGTCTGTTAATGGGATAGGAGGAGTTAGAGTTCCTGCTCCTGTTGCTTTGTCTGTTTTATTTTGTCTGCTTCACCATTCGGCATCCCCAATGGCTTTGGAGAAGACATAGTCTCTCCCGTTCAGATTCATGATCCCGTCCTTCAGGTGGAATTTCCATCTGTTCTTACTTCTGTGAATCTGAGGAGTTGAGAGAAGGAAAATCAGCGCAGATGGTCACTGTTTGAGCTTACAGTAAACAGTCTAACGCCTTTAGCCCATGCACACAAAAGGTTGACGCTCACTCACAAATTGGCAATGTAAACTTTACACGTTGTGAGGAAATGCAAGAGTCCCTTATTTAAACCAATTTTATACATAGGAACTTTAATGAGAGTAGTGAAGGTCCAAACATGTTCACACCAAGTACAAGACTTGTTGGTTTTTGTCAAAGTGGTCGGTAAAACGGTCATCGAGAAATACACATCTGTCTGACTCTCACCAGCTGTGTTTTTAATTATAATAGAATTTGAAATCTGTTTATCAGGCATAAAAATAACTGGCCGAAATCATTTGATTTTTATAAACGTGCTCGACAAGTCCAACATCCAGCCAATGATTAATACAGAATACAGGATGAATCAATCTTATAGAAAACAGTAAGCCACACCAAGTGTTATGGTTTTGTCGAAGTCCATACATGACAGTGTACTGTGTATGCAAATTCACACATCTAGAGCATAGTATAAGGACAAATGTATAATACAGTCTGAAAACCTAAAGCAATAAAATATACCCAGCATTCTTTAAACAATAAATGCTGAAAACAGATCTTTGCTGTTTTTAATAACGACCTGATTATTAAAAGTAGTAACTGACAGATTATTAAAATAGTTTAGGTGCAGCCCTATGGAGGACTATGAAATGCAATCTTTGTTTACTTCATGGCAGCAAATAACAATAAAGACAGTGCCGAGAAGGAAACTGCCTGGAAATAAACAATTTAAAAGCCATGAGTAAATAGTCATCCTTTACAGTGGGACTGTATAATATGGGCTAAATATAACTTGTGGTTATGATATCTGACAATATGTTTTATTAAGCCAGAATTACACATTGAAGTTTTTTTTGTGTAGCAAAACTATTATGTTGTGGTTTTTAATCGATATTTTCTCTCTGGTAATTGCCTCAATATGCTACTTTATGGTTACTGAATGTCAAAATCTGTCACCTTGTCCATATGACACAATACATAAGTTAGGAATGCAAAAGGCCAACATGTCCAAATTAATATTTTATACCAAGAGATATAAGGGAATTAGAATTTAGGGACCTACGTATACACAGAGGTTACTTCAGTTTAGTTTCTTACCTTGTCGTACTGGCATACTACTACATTCTCTGTATCAAACAGCTCTTGGTCCTCTGCATCACTAACATCATCCTCACTGTTCAGTGGCTCCTGATGAGTCAAGAAGAGCAACAAGTTAAGCAACGCTGAATGTCCTAGAAAAGCTGGAAAAGACTCAAATGGCATGAAAACACACTGAGTGGCTGTCTGCTGACTAAAATGTGACACATTGATTTATCACTTCTTGCATCCACCAGTGCCCACCTCCTCAACCTGCCCGTCCTCTCCTCCATCCTTGTCCTTCTCCTCTTCTTCATCTTCATCATACTCCTCCTCCTCATCCTCGTCCTCCTCTGAAGAGGTGTCTCCGGCTCCATCCACCTGCAGCATCATGGGAGGCTGCTGTGCCTGAGGCTGTGGTTGAGCCTGGGGCTGGGCCTGCTGCAGGGCCTGGGGCTGTGGTGGGGCCTGTGTTGAAGCTGCACCCTGGGCCTGCCGAAACTGGTGGGC